GGGGGGGGGGGGGGTTATGACTTTCAGGGTTCGTTCAAGATTTCTCAAAGCAATAGCCAACTTTCACTAACAGATCACGTGAGCCCAACCCACGCCCTTAAAGCGAGTGTAGCACCTGGATAGTAAGACGACTATGTCGCAGCTCCTAATGTCGACTATCGGAGAAAGTGACATTGATTATAAAACCAAATATTTTATAAGGCTTAGTATGGAAAAAATGTGTTGGCTGACAAGCTCTTGCCATCCATAGCATTTCTACATACAATACTTTTGATAATTATACAATATTTGATGTTATATTTAATGCCTTTTAACTTCTCGTGTGTCACATGTTATAAGCTAACACCTCGTAATCCTACTAATATCGATTCTTTCTACCGTTCATTTTGACTCAAATACTAGTGTAGAAATTGCGCAACGAATGGATTTCATATTCTTTGGGTGCATGTTACGTCATAGCCGCCATCTTGATTTCTCTTGTTAGATCAACCAACATGGCGGCTGTTTCATTGTTATTCATATCTCGAGGGATTTTGAGTCACGTGGTCGCACTCCAAGAATTCAGCTCACTACAATAGTAGATATATTATGGATGCATGTAAATGAGATGCAAATGAGACAACAAGCATTGTATATCGACCCGATAGCCTCACTTGTGTGATTCTCAAACAAACGAATATCCCATTGCGGGCTCAACCGCAATAACAGCTTTTTTGTGGCTTACCACAGGAAGACCAATTTAGACTAAAAGTTACTTACCGTTGCTATCGAATCCATGGGTGATTTCGTGTGCCACGACAATACCAAGACCTCCATAGCTAACAGCTCTAACGAAGCAATATATAAATCTTGTTAATACAAATACAATAAAACTATGTTTAAGAAAATTTAGAAATGTACCTTGGGAACCCTTTGTCGAAAAATGGAGGTTGTAGAAATCCAGCGGGAAATGCTGTAAAATAAAAAAAGAATAAAATTAATTAATCAATTAATTGACTAAATTAAAATAAATAAACAAAAAGAAATATAGAGATTAATTAACTAAAAATAAAATAAAAAAGTTTAATTTAATAAGTTTAATAAAATTTTAATAGAAGCTAGTTTGTTTAGGAACCAAGATTGATGTAGCGGTAGCTTTATACGTCACATGTCTCTCTCTTACATCACATTTGGGATGATCGAGTTTGTTAGGTCTCTCCCTTGCTTATACTTACTTATTTTGTTAGTCACTCTATCGTAGAAAGCGTTGACCCTTTGTGGTGGGACAATCCATCTTAAAAACAAAAACAAAACACATAAAAATGGATATTTCAGATAAAATAAATCTTAATGAAAATGACGTCATTTCAAAGGCGATGACGACATAACCTAGAAAATCAAAAATATCTAATGAAATAAAGAACAACAATATGGTCGAAAGCCTTTTAAATTTTAAACGTAGTGGATACGAATCTTTAACTAAAAAAAAAAAAAAAGAATACCACCATACCTGTTTTTGTCTACAGGTTCTTTGATGAGAGACAATTCTTTGTAAACTGTGAAGCGACGTAAGTTTAACAGGGTCGCAAAGTATGATGTCTTGTTGACGGTCAACTGTTATCAGAACACACACAAAATGAGATAAGAGTCGAATTAGACAAGGTGTATAAGATACAGTCACGTGACAAATAATACAGTCACATGACGGAGGATAAAGTTGCATGATACAATCACGTGATCGAGACAGAAAATGCAGTACATGATGCGAATAATAGATCCCTTGCAGCACGTCGAAATACAGCTTAATTTGGAGGACATAACAATAGGTTTCATTTTCTCTGCTTTGTCATCCCATGCAAGGGGTGTATGGGGTCAAATGACATAAGTAATGTTTAATAAACGAGCAGGAGTGTTTTATCGGGTATAAAACACGAGGCACAGCCGAGATGATGTATGTTCTCATATTGTACAGAATTCTTTACGAAATGAACCAAGTTTGATAGAGAAAATCCAAGTTAAAGTTCATGCAAATGAAGACGAATCTATATCAGGTATAAAATCACCTTCATGGTCATGATTTCTATTGTGTTTCCATCATAAATTATTAATGAGTTTTCTAATATAAAATCACATAATACAAACGATACAGACACATTTGATACGGATAATACTGTCACGTGATACAACCAAATTACAGATACGATACGGTTGGTACAGTCACATGACAAGAAATACATCCACATGAAAATGATGGTATAATCACATGATATGGATTGTATAGACACATGAAACAGTATTCACAATCACGCGATACGGATTGATAATACCGTCATATGATATAATAAGCATTTTCCAATGGTAAAAATGATCCAATAATACAATCCAGGGACATGGTTCAAAGAAATCACTTGATAAAAATTACACAGTCATTTGCCTACAAAGGATAAAGTGATATGGTCCAAATGATTATTATGTGAAGCTGCAACTGATACATACCTCTTTGTATCTTTTATTCAGTTCGGCAGGGTTCCTCAGGTATTCTGGGTAACCAATATTTTTTCGAATTGCTTCAGCCTGTGTGCACAAGCGTAAACAAAAGATAAAATTGCCATTCAAGACCATATATGAGTAAATCTAAACCCAGTCAAATTTGTTTGCCACGTACGACTTATTTGAGCAATATTGCAAAATATTCTGGTGTGTCAAGGGCAGATCCAGCCAAAATTTAAGGCGCTGTGTATACCTTTCAGCATATGACAACCATATTATACCTTTTCCTTAGCTTTCTGTCTTGTACTCTCATCCATCCAGTCTAGGTCCTGTAGATTGGCAATAAATGCTTCTCGTTGATCGTTTATCAATTTGGAAACCTGAAAAATAACAATTGTATTAATCATGGATCTGAAGATGTTATTTACGAAGTATCTGAGTCTCATTTTCAATATCATTCGTTTCACGATTGCGCTTGAGAAGACAAAAGAAAAGAAAAGAAAAGAATCTTATTCTCAAGAGAATGACACGTGGTCTGAAATGGGAAAACATTACGCCCAAGTGGAAAATATATAGTTCTTCTTCTTCTTATTTTTTGTTTATATTTCTCTTTACCTTGATTTTTCACATTATATCTAATATTATTAATTTAGCAAACTTGGTATAGAAAATAGTTGTTGTGTTGTTGTTGCTGTTGTTGTTGTTGCTGCTGTTGTTGTTCATGAAACGTAAGTTGATTCTTACCACATCAAGGCTTTCCTTTCTGAACTTCTCGTCAATGAAAACAAGTCCTAAAGGATAACCTATCGTATTAACACCCATCTCCTTAATGCATTTTTTCCAGGGAGGTATAGTGCCAGAACTTCCATCAGTAACAGCGTTAAACCGAAAAAACGCTGATTGAGTTTTTGAACCAAGTTGTGGAGCGAGCTCGACGATGACCTGCCACATCATGTAGTTGCGAATGACTCTGAGGAAATAAAAATGTAGAAAGTTCTTCAACTTTATCAAACCTTAAAACAACGTACCTTAAAGCTCATCAGGAAGCAAGGAAGCAAGGAAGCAAGGAAGCAAGGAAGCAAGGAAGCAAGGAAGCAAGG